GCTCGCGTCCAAGCCGTCCTCGAAGCCGTCCCGATTCGAACTCGCGGAATATCCGAAAAAAGAACACACACACACGCACATATACACATTAGGCGTCATTAAACGTTAGCCTCATCGTAAACCTCGATGATTTTAGTCAAGTCGATCTTACGACCAGAGAGAAACGGACGTCGAAACGAGGAGGAAGATAGAACGGTCTCTACCACGCTCGAGAGCGTAGTTCGATACACGAAGGGGGGATCGTAGATCTTTGTGCGGTGCATTTATTACTTTGGATGACACAGGCGTAGACATCGATTATCATCCTACGTAATTTATCTCGGCGTATTAGCCGTATGAATTATTTCCTCTGTAACCCGATGCGTTGGTCGCATCGGAACGACCACGCGCGGATCCCGATATTCGCGTCTCTTCTTCGAGTAAGATATCGGGGAGGGTAATTGTGCCAATTTACCCGGGGGTTTCCTGCACCGCGTCGTAAAATCGGATATATAGATAGCGGTGGTGAAGGCTCTCGTTTGCTCGGACCCATGCCGAGGCCAGCTGGTTGCCGGTAACTAACGTCTTCTATCCGCGAAACAAGCTCGGTCCCGAGTGTATACAAGCCCTCGTGGAAGAGGAGATCCCTCCCAGGGATAATTATAATAATTGGACGATAAATCGATAATTAATCAGGGGACTAATTACGAATTATAGTCGAGGCGAGACAATGCTCGGCATTGTTCATTGGGACTCGAGTCGTGGGAAGCTTAATGGCTCTTATGGTAGAAAGTTATGGCTATCCCGCGATATTCTTACTTTTGTCTTCTCATCTTCGTCGAGTTAGAGCAACATCTTCGATCGATTAACGTGACTCGATCTCTCGAAGTCATCGGAATGCGCGAAGCTCGCACTTTTATCAGCAGGTGTTATAGTTAATTATATTAGATTATTATCGCAATGCATCGATGCACGTCTTAAAGCTGCATCTCTTTCTTCGCGTTAATTGATCGTGTAACGCTCCGAATTTTAATGATATACGTAGGGTATTCGCTAATTCCATTCCTCGGCATGGATCGTTATTATATCGGGTTCAGGAATTGCATCACGGAGGAGGAAATTGGCAATCATCATCATTTCTCAAATTTCACACGTAATTTACTATTCGAATAATGCAGCAACGAAGGTTTGAAGCTCGTCACCTATGCTCTCCTATTCCGCGCCTCGAAACGAGCCCCCTTTCTCATAACGCGAACGGTAGATGATCCGGATGGGTCGGTCCAGGAATAGCCTTCCCCGAACCAACCGGTGTTCAATCAAATAAATAATTTTTAGGGCGAAATGGGCGGCGCGGAACCACCGCGGCATAAATTATCCGCCGACGTAACTTGGACGCGGGTGAACTGCAACTATTTATACCTAACTGTTGGACTGCTACATTTTGCCACGGGTCCTCTATCCCTTTCTCTCCTTCGCACGCCTTCTCTTTTCCTTTGGAGGCCGCCACCTCCATACAACACCAACTGGAACCATAAACTTCGCGTCGGGGGGAAACGTTTCGGTCGAAATCCACTATGGTTTCGTAGAAATTCTTCTCTACCGTGACCTACGAGCCGAAGCTGTTGGCCGGCTCTATAAAGCATCGGACCGGCCTCGAAAATTGTAACCGAGCAGCCTTGCAACCGGCTCCTCGTGAATCATCGACACCTGCTAGCACGAGTCCCTAAGCACTTATCTACACGCTCGAATTTACATTCGGATGATAGGTTCGATTTGCAATTCAATGAGGCCCGATAATCGTCCTCCAAGATGGGGGATTAAATCTAACACTCGAAGAGGAAGAACGTTTTTTTCGTTATCGAATCCAACTCTTTTTTTTCTTCCTCTCGCTTCTTTAGAAGTATTCTAATGAATCGACAATTACAGTTCCGTGTATGATACTTGGATAAAATTATTAACCGATAAGTATTATCACAAATAAGGATCCAGGGTGGTTAGAATTTTAGAAGAGAGTCGAGGGGAAAAAGAGGATGAAGAAATTTCGCTGTGGATAGCGGTCGATGGTGGTGGTCGAGGCGGTCGCACGGTGGACCAGAAAAGCCGCGGCGATCCGTGGGTAATGCGCGGTTCTTGCGTTCCTCATCGTGGATGACGAAGCAAAGATGCATCCACGTCTTTCGTACGGTCATATACGATTCGCCTAGGTATTAAGGTCGATTCACACTTAATAACACCGTGGCGAATCCACGTAACATCGTAACGAGATTTTGAGAAACGTCGAATTTATTAAATCAACCCAACTCCCATTTCGTGTTCCATACGAATATTCCGGCAGATGACTCACTCCATTAATCATTTCGCCTCGCTCAAATCCTCCTCTACCTGGTATTTCCAATTCCA